TCTCTGGCTGTGCAGTTGTGTCTCTGGTTGTGCAAACGAGTGCTCTCCCCCGAGCAGTGTGTGGGCAGTCGGCGGGAGGTGCGGAGGACGAGGGTGAGTCTCAGGCCGGCTGGATCGAGGGAGCAGCTATCTTGTTCTCCGTGATCATCGTGGTGCTGGTGACTGCCTTCAATGACTGGAGCAAGGAGAAGCAATTCCGGGGCCTCCAGAGCCGCATTGAGCAGGAGCAGAAGTTCACAGTGATCCGCAAGGGGCAGGTGATTCAGATCCCAGTGGCCGAGATCGTGGTGGGAGACATCGCGCAGATCAAGTACGGTGAGTGGAGGTGGTGGTGGTGCTTGGGGGTCTGTCCCTCCTCCTCCTGAGCCCAGCAGATCCTCCTCTGCTTCTCCAGCCCTTGAGGGGAAGCATTGGCTCCTCCAGTTACTCTGTCTTGGAGCCCTGATAGCCCAGGACAATGGGATGCTCCCCTGGGAGTGATGGAGCTCCACTCACCTTGCTGCTTGCCCACCCCGAGCTAAGCCAGGCTCTGTGCTCAGCTCTGGGCTGCTTTAGTGACCTCCTGGTCTCAAAATTGGTTTCCCAACCGTGTCCTTGCTGGTGAACAGTTTGGATGTATCAGGAACTTTGGGAAGGATCTGGTGCTGATCCATTAAAACTAGATGGGGAAACACAGTCAGATTGAGCAAACTCCTCACAGCAAATCCTTTGGTACATCAGTGAGGATTCTGGAGCTGTTGGATAGCACCTGTTGTGTAAAACACACCTGCTTCTCCTCCCTCTGGAATTGGTCTGAGCCTGAGTTTTGGGTCCTTTTGAAGCCTCCCCACGGGATGGGGCAGGCAGGGGTGAGTGGTGGCTGCCCAGGCTGAGCTGATCCCCCTCTTTGCTCCTCTCCCAGGTGATCTCTTGCCAGCGGATGGGATCCTGATCCAGGGTAATGACCTGAAAATAGATGAGAGCTCACTGACTGGGGAGTCAGACCAAGTCAAGAAATCGATGGATAAAGACCCCATGCTGCTGTCAGGTGAGTCCCAGCAGCTCCACGTGCTGAGTGCAGGGCTGGGATGGAGAGGTGGTTGGCCTTGGGTCATGGTGTAGGGGAGGTGTTCAAGGCCAGGTTGGAGCAACCTGGGCTAGTGGAAGGTGTCCCTACCCATGGCAGGAGATGGAACAAGATGAGCTTTAAAGTCCTTCCAAGCCAAACCATCCTGTGATTCCATGGGATGGGAACTGGCTGTTTCAGCTGCCTCACCATGACCTTCCTGCTGTGCCAGGTACCCACGTGATGGAGGGCTCTGGCAGGATGTTGGTGACTGCTGTGGGCATCAACTCCCAGACAGGAATCATCTTCACTCTCTTGGGTGCGGGAGAAGGAGATGAGGAGAAGAAGGTGAAGAAAGGTAAGGAGATCCCCTGACCCTGCCTTTTCCCTCCTTTGGCCTTTCTCCCTGTCCTGGGAAGTACCACTGGTGTACCACAAGCTGCTCCCACGTCGGTGGGCCCTGGTTGTGTGTTAGTGCCCATGGCCCAGGCAGGTATGGTGAGCTCTGGAGGCACTGGGGGTCCCTCCCTGCTGCCCCTTCACCTCCAGCATGGGGCTGGGGCTGCCTGAGGAGAGCCCCATCACCCTCACTCTGCTCACCAGCTCCTTTGGACACAGCTCCAGCTCTTTCTTCTCCAGCAGGATGCAGCCTGGAGCTGCAGGGTGGGAGGGTCAAGGCTCAGAGGGAAAAGTGACCGGTAGCGATGCCCCACGGTGCTCCTTGCTCACCCGTGGGGGAAGGTGAGTCCTGCTCATCCACAGGGTGTTGGTGGCTCATCCAGAACCTTGAGGACTTGGCTGAGGATCACCACTGGCATTCCCTGAGCTCCCTGGGGAAGGAGTGGAGGCGCAGAGGGATGGCAGGAGGGAGAGGAGGAGTTGTGTGCTGGGATGGGAGAGCAGCCAGGCAGGCTGAGGTGTTCTTGTCGTGCTGGGACTCGAAAGCTTTCCTGCCTCAGCTCTCACATCCTGTTGCTTTTTCCCCTGCTCTGTGCCAGCTCTGACACCAGCACTGGTCCGAGCCAGGCTGGGGAAGCTCCTGTGTCCCTGATCTCCTGCTCAGCAGGTCTGGGCTCACCGGAGGAGCTGGCAGGAGGGAGCTGCTGGCTGGCACTGCCGGCTTTGCTGCCATCCCTGCGCCAGGGAGCCCTTCCCGGGAGGCAATGCCAGGCAGGAAGAGGCTTCCCAGCTCTGCTGGCAGACATTCCAGCTCAGGGCTGTGTGTGTGTGCTGGGTTCCTCCAGCTCTGCTCCCCGGGAGCGGCTGGCTCGGCTCACCGCGGTCTGGGGGCTGTGGAGCTCCCAGGATTGAGCTGCCAGCGCGGAGGTGGGAGGAGGACAGGGTGACATGGCACTGGCACTGCTGTGGGAGCTCAGCAGCAGCTCACCAGGTGCCTGGGTGTGATGCTTGGTGCTGTCCCACCCTTCAACTCTGTCACTCAACCCCACAGCAAGCCCAGATCTGGGAGCAGAGTGGGCCAGGGGATCTCACCAGCTCATCCCCTGCCACGGAACTGGGGGTGATGGAGTGTGTGACCCCCTTGGCACTCAGGCTGCAGCAGCAGTCCCCACTGGGGCCCCACCACGTGCACCCCTTGCCTACCACAGGCTCTGGGGGTCAGAGCCCCCTGCTACGTGTGTAGTGCTGCCTATGGTGGGGACAAGTCTGCACCTCCTGTGGGATCCACCTGCACCTGATGGCAGTGGGAGCTGCACGGGGGACCGAGCTCTGCTGTGTGGTGTCTTCTCCCCGAAGGTCTGAGGCAGTGCTGGCACCCTCCAGGGCACTCCCAGGGGTTGTGTGGGTGCTTTGCAGGTGGGAAAGTGTGAGTCCCTGGGGATGGGGTGCCTGGGGGAGCCAGGGAGCTCTGGAGCCTCCCTGATGCCACGAGCTGTGGACCGAGGCACGCGTGGTGTCCGGAGGGTGACCACAGGGTGCTGAGCCCGGTGCTTGGATGCCACTGGAGCAGCTCCTCGGAGCAGGGCTGGCCCTGGGCTGTCCCTCCAGCTGGATGGTGACCGTGGGTCTTTGTGCTCAGCCCTCCACCCTTTCTCTCTTTGAACAGGTAAAAAAGGTGGAGCCCCCGAAAATCGCAACAAAGGTAACCAGCCTCTCCATCCTTTGAACCAGCACCACACTAACTACCGAGCATTCCTCCTTCCTTCCTTCCTTCCTTCTTCTCATCAGTCTGTGCTCTTTGCTGCTCCGGCGGGACTCTCGCCTCGTTGTCCTGGGAGAGGGTGCAATGGTCCCGTGGCTGCTGCTCCTGGCACAGCATCCTGGTGCCCCCAGCACGGGGCTCTGCACACTGGGATGAACCTCCCCCATAGCCACCTTGGCCCTGCGTGGGGAAAAGCTGTTCTGCAGGGAGGACAGGGCTCATCCTGCAGCCTGGACCTTTGGCAGAGCATCCCTTTCTCAGGGCAAACTCCGTCCTCGCTGCCATGAGCTGCGGTGGTGGTGACTTGGTGGCTCTGAAGCCTTTGTGCCCATCAGATGCTGTCCCTTCCCAGGGTTTGTGCTTGGCCACAGCTGTGGGACAGCTGTGTGTCCCCTTCTGGTGTTCCTGGGATGAATTATCCCACGGGGCCTGGCCGACGTGACGGTTGCACCCTCTCCTCCCATGGCCTCGACTCCGTGAGCGTCTCCTCACCAGTGTTTCTCACACTGTTCTTTGCAGGCTGTGGAGGAAGCCCATTTCTGCACCTCTCTCCACCTCTCTCTCTCTCTCTCTCTTTCTCTCTCCTCTCAGCAGTTTGAGTTTCCCTCCTCCCGTCAGACTGTGTCCGGGTGTTGTTTTGTCCGTGTGGGGTCTGTCCGTGGAGGTGTCCGGTGTGGAGCTGCCGTGAGCTCCGGGGTGTCTCGAGCCACCGAGCAGCAGCAGCAGCAGGAGGGGACAGGTCCCAGGGCAGCGATGGGGACACTGCTGCTCCTCCAGCTCCAACAGCTGAGGAGGAGCCTCTCCGGGGGGTTCCCAGCCTCTTCCCATCCCTCTCCAAGCTTCCAGACTTGGGTTTCCCCAGTGCAGACTTCCAGCTGGACTAGACCAATTTTAGGAGCAGGAAGCCTGGCTGTCTGGGGTCCTAGAAGCGTGGTGGATGGCTCAGGGCTGGGATTCACGGAGCTGCCTCCCTCCTCTTCAACCTCCATCCGAATTTCTAACCGTCCCCCTCCATCTCACCCCCTCGGTTGCTCCCCTGGCGAGTGGTTCCTGCTCAGCTGCCCA